AGCGGCTCAGGCACCAGCTCCTCACCCTCAGTTGTGATGTGACTCGTGTGACGAGCCCCGCGGCCCTGGACGGGCCGCAGGAGCCCGCAAACGAAAAGCCTCCAAGACTCGTCGTCCTCCTCGCCGTCTTCGCCGGCGCCCTCCTCGTCATCCTGGGGGTCTGGGGATACAGCCTTGGCAGCGGGCCAGGATCGAAAACTGGAACAGACACACTACCAGTGGCGGGCTGTTTTCCAGTCCCAGGATTTCTTGAGGGTCGAGGGCGACCCTGGGGTGGTGCCCCACGATGTCCCGGGGAAGCAAGGACAAACGTATACACCAGAGTCCCGTATGCACCAGGGTCCGCTCTCCAGGGCACATTCCAATGCAGGGCCGGAAGACGCGTCGGTGTATAGAGATCGATTCCCCACAGGACTCAGGAGGGGACAAAAACACACAGACACAATTAATCGTCGACCCCCAGGAACATATGGGAAACTATTGGAAGTGGGAGGGAAGACAAAAACCCAGAATATTTGGGAACATGGGGAATCCTTTTATTTGTGTGTATTTATTTGTGTGTCCCAGGGCCCCTTCAAGGACGCTGCCCGCAAGTCGCCTCCCAGCCCGCGCCCAGGAGGAAGGCCGCCGGCGCGGCGCTGTCGGCCGTGCGGCAGAAGCGCCTGGGGGCCTCGTCGTGAGCGGCCGTGGCCGAGGAAGCGCTGGACGACGCCCCACCTCGTGTCAAGCAGTGGCGAAGCGTCCTGGCTCGCCCTTAGCCCTGCCAAGCAATGTTCTAAGGACCTTTTATGGCTCCCACGAAATGTTCTGAGACCAGTTATGGTTGGGTCTGTCTTATTTTTATCGCATCGGGCTGCTGTTCTGAGGACGCTGTTCTTGTTCTCAGAGCGCTTTTGGGTTCTAAGCACACTTCGGGGTAGAACTGTAGGAATGCTGGGACGGTCGGCCCCTGCTCAATCGTACGGCCTCCTCGCCGTGCTCCTCGCCATCCTGGAGGACGACCCGACGCGTCGTCCTCCTCGCCTCGCCGTCCTCCTCGCCGTGGCCAGGAGCGCGCCCGGTCGGGCTCCGAGCGTCTTCTGCGCTGTCTTGGCTCCCAGGGCTCAGTCGGGCCTGTCCCTCTCCAGGGGGAATATTCAAAAATAGTTAAAAAATAGTCTGGGGACTATTCCTTTATTACATGTGGGCATCTTTTGATTCCTCTCGCTTCGCGGGGTGCACGTCCGGAGCACGTACAGTCCAGTCGTTCTTGTGCCTCGTGGCAGCCTTGGGGGCCTCTTGGGAGCCTCTTGGGGTCCTCTTGGGGCCTCCTGGGGACGTTTTGGGTCGTCGTGAGGCGCTCTTACGCCGTCTGGCCCCTTCGGAGGTCATCTTGGAGGCCACTCGCGGCCGCCTTGGGCTTCTGTTGGGGTCCTCGTTGGCCGTCTTTGGGGCCTCTTGGACCGTCTTGTGGGCCTCTTTTGGGCGTCTCGGGGCGCTCTGAGGGCGTCTTGGGGCCCCCATTGGGTGCTTCTCGAGTCTTTGTGGGGCCATGTTGGAGGCTGCTTGGGCCGTCATTGGCTTGTCAGAGCCGAAAAAGGCGAGAACGCTAAAATCGTTCAAAACCTATAGGAAAATTAATGTGTTTTGCCTCTGGAGGCGCTCTTGTGGGCGTTCTTGGGGCCCTCTTGGGCCGTCTTAGGGGCTTCTTGGGCCATCTTGGGGCCATCTTGGGCCGTCTTGGGGCCGTCTTGGCCCGTCTTGGGGCCATCTTGAGCCGTCTTGACGTCGGCGTAGACCCCCAAGATGCCCAAGGGGCCCGAATCATCGGTTCCCCGTAGGTTTTTGTTGGTGTTGAAGCCCAGGAGGGGTCCACCATCTTTGGGTCGGTGGATGTGGCGTGGCCTGGGGCGGGGGGGTTAGGGGGGAGACATAAGAATGTAATACAATGCAGCACCAAGCAATTATGCAATCATTGGATACATCTGATACGTTGTATTAGGGCTTCCGCTCCGCTGCGCGACCTGCCTCCGGCAGCGCGTCACTTCCGGACGTGGATTCCGGACGTGGATTCCTCTCGCTTCGCGGGGTGCACGTCCAGAGCACGTACAGTCACGTCGTCGCGGGGCCTCTTGGGAGCCTCCTGGGGGCCTCCGGGAGGCCTCTTGGGAGCTTCTTTGGGTCTCTTGGGGGCTTCTTTGGGGCCTCTCCCCCCCCTCCCTTTCATACTCCCTCCCCATCTTCCCTTCCAGCGCTGGCTCTGATCATGCGCGCCGCCGTGACCAACTTCCACCTGGCTGGCGCTGCGCCGTCGTTCGCCCAGGGGTGCAAATAACAGTACGCTCCAGTCGTTGTGTGGCCTTGTGGGGGCTTCTTGGAGGCCTCTTTGAGGCTTCTTGGGGATTTCTTGGAGGCCTCTAGGTTTTGTTGGGGAGTTCCTGGGGGCCTCTTGGGGGCCTCTCGGGGCCTCTTGGGGGCATCTTGGGCCGTCTTGGGGCTTTTTTGCGCCGTTCCGCCCCTTCGGAGGCCGTCTTGGGGGCCTCTCGCGGCCGCCTTGGGGTTCTCTTGGGGTCCTCTTGGGCCGTCTCAGGTGTTTTTTTGACCGCCTTGGGGGCTTCTTTGAGCCGTCTTGGGGCCCTCCTGGGCCGTTTGGTGTCATCTTTTGAGCCTCTGGGGGCCTCTTGGGGGCGTCTTGGGGCCGTCTTTGGGCGACCTTACGCCGTCTGGCCACTTCGGAGGCCACTTTGGAAGCCTCTCGCGGCCGCCTTGGGGCTCTCTTGGGGTCCTCTGTGGCCGTCTTGGGGGCTTCTTGGGCCGTCTTGGAGGCGTTTTTTGGCTGTTTCGGGGCCCTCTTGGGCCGTCTTGGGGCCCCCTTGGAGGCCTCTTGGGCCGTTTGGGGGCCTTTTTGGAGGCTGCTTGTGCCGTCATGGCCTTCTGAAAGCCGAAAAAGGCGAGCACGTTGAAATTGTTCCAAAACTATTACGGAAATCACAGATTTTGGCCTCCGGAGGCGCTCTCGGGAGTGTTCTCGGGGGCCTCTTGGACTTTTTGGAGGGCCTCATGGGCCCTCTTGGGGCCATCTTGGGCCGTCTTCAGGCCGGCTTGGATTGTCTTGGGGTCATCTTGGGCAGTCTTGAAACCTTCTTGGGGCCCCAAGAGGCCAAAGAGGCCGAATTTGCTGATTTCTTATAGGTTTTTGTAGGTTGTTGGGCCCCACAAGGGGCCCTCCACCTTTGGGTCGACGGAAGTGGCTCGATTCCGGGGGGGGGGTAGGGGGGAGACATAACAATGTAACACAATGCAATATGTAGCAATTACGCAGTCATTGGACACATGGGATCCATTGCATTAGGGTTTCCGCTCCGCTCCGCGACCTGCCTCCGGCAACACGTCACTTCCGGACGTGGGTTTTGTAGGCTTACGCCACATCCGCCGACCCCTATATAAGGTACTGCGCCTCCAGGACTGCATTTCACGAGGGTTGTCCGCATCATGACACGGCGCTCGACATCGTTCCTGTTGCTTCGTTGCTGTTATCGTACCTCTTGGTGCTCTTTTGGCCTCTTGGTGGCATCTTGGCTTGTCTGCAGACCATATCCGGCCGCCTCGAGGCATCTTGGGCCAAGTTTTGGGGCCTCTTTGGGGTTTCCTGGGGGCTTTTTGGAGGCCTTTGAGGTTTTTCTGGGGGTCCCTCAGGGCCTCTTGGGCTGTTCTTGGGGCAGGCTGGGGGCGTCTTGGGGCCGAAGGCTCGAACAGGTGTCGTCTTGGGGCCGCCTGGGGGCCCTCTTGGGCTGTCTTGGGGGCTTCGGGGGCTGTTGTTGGACCCTCTTCGACCCTTTTTGGGGGCCCCTGTGGCCGTCTGGGGGCGATAGTGAAGGTTTTTTTTGCCCGTCTGGGACGTTATGCAAACCGAATAGGCGAGCATGCGAAACATGCTTGTTTTTCGAAAAGGAATGGGACGATGTTTGTTTCTTGGGACCCTTTGGGGCGCATGTTGGGGGCCTTTGGGGCGTCTTGGCAGCTTCGGAGGCCGCCTGGAGGCCATCGTGGGCGTCCTCGGCCATATTCCGGCGCATCGTGGCCCCCTTGGGACCGTCTGGGGAGCGTTCTGGTGCTCTCATGGCCAGTTTTGGACCCCCCCGCTCCCCTGTGACGCGTTCGGTCCGGGGCCGCCCGGGGCCGAGAGGGGGGGTCAAATCTCCGGTGTAGGGTCCCTTTGGGGGGGGGGGTAGGGGGGGGAACCATCTCACACGCCAAGAGACCCACAAGGGGTCGGCGGATTATTGTTGGAGTGTTTGTTATTTTTCGACCAGCATCCCCCTGTAGGGGGACAGGCCCGACCTAATCCCAGGACCGGTCGGAACTCACTCATGAGTCTGGCCGGGACGCACCGCAGGAGACGTCCAGGGGACGGTTTTCGACCCTTGGACCTCGAGCAGTGGCGAGGCATGGCTGGACCCAAACGGTGTTTTTTGCAATTTCGTGGGCCGTTTTTGTTTCGACTCCGTTTTGCGGTAAAGGCGGATTGAAGACAAAACGAAGGAAAACGAAAGCAAAACGAACACGAAAAAAAACGTTTAGTTTCAGCCTTGTGGCGAGGCGGTCTGGTTTGCCTATAGGCCCACCAACGGATGTACCAAGAGCCTTTCTGATGTTTGCACGACGCGCTCTCAGAGAACACTTCTGGCTGAGACTGCCTCCCGTCTTTTTCACACCGCGCTTCTGTTCTGAGAAGATTCTTTTTTGCTCTTCGAGCACTTTTTCGGCTCTTCGAGCACTTCGTGGCAGGCCTCTGGGACTGCCGGGGCGGTCGGTCCCTCCTGGCAGACCCAGAACCCTTCGCGCCAGCCCCGAGTTTCGCTCGCCAGGAAGGGGGGTCCAGCACCGACCCAAGAAATCATCGTGGGCCTCCCCGCGTTGTTCACGGACCTCGGCCTCCGGAGCCCGTGTTCGGGCGCCGGGGCCGTCGAGCATGCACACCGGGACGAAACACCGCCCCAGGCGAGGGGTGGGGCCGCGCATGGAACGAGCGCGTTGGCAGATGTCCAGATGTCTGGGTCGCTGACACTCCTCCATTCTTCACCGGCTCCCCCCCCCCTTCTCCCGCCCCGGTTTCTTCCTCCCCTCTCCCCGTTGCCGTTTGCCCCCCTCTCCAGCCTCCCTTCCCCATCGTCCCTCTTCCCCCCTCTCATTCCTCCTCCCCCCCCTCCTCCTCCTCCTCCTCCTCCTCCTCCTCCTCCTCCTCCTCCTCCTCCTTCTCCTCACTCCCTTCTCTGAATCGACATCGTCTTCATCCCGCCACAGCCCCCTTCTAGTCTTGCTGCTGCTCTTTCCTCTGCGCTTGCTCCTCCTCCCCCCGCTCCGCCTGCTTCAGGCCACCAGCTTCCCACGGGGACGGTGTCTTCGCCCCCCTCCCCCCCCCTCCCTCCCCCTCCGCCTCCCTCCTCCCTCCCTCCCCCCCTCTCTCCTCCCTCCCCATGTCCCCCTCCCTCCCCCTCCTCTTTTCCCCGCCTCCTCTGGTCGCCCGCGGGTCTCCGGCCCTCCTTTGGATTCTGCCGGATGGGGGTGTCGACGCCCCCAGGGCACGGGGGCCGCGCGGCAGAACACACACGGGGGCCGCGCGGCAGACCACAGCAACAGACATGCAGCGTGCATATTCATCCCTTCCCCTCGTCCCGTCTCTTCTTCTTCCCTTCCCCGTTCATTCTTCCCATACTACTGCCTCCTCTTCTCCCGTTTGACTTATCTCTCTCTCCTCCTGTGCCCCCTCATCTGATTATCCTTCCCTCCCCCTCCTCTTCCTCCGCTCGCT